CTATGATTATCATATGAGTAGTAGCATCAAGTCTTTCGCTACCAAATTGTAAAACTCAAGTTCCGTAGTTCGCGCCACGTTATTGTACAAAACAACAACAGAGAAAAACAAAATTGCGGTCCGACATTTGGGACGGTGATGCGTTATAAGATGCGAATATTCGGTTTGACAAGAGTGTCTTAAGAATTAGTGGTGGGTGGTGCTGATTAATTGCCTTCCCTCTGGCCTATCACTTCAAAATTAGAGACAACTAGCAGAGTTAACCCTCGTGGCTTTAAATCAAACAAAACGAACTTAACATTAATTTCATTCTAATCATTTCCAACCTCTGGGTATAATCACTCAATTTCTTGGTTATTAGTATTGTTTTATTTCTTGCCACTTTCATTTTTGGTATCATTTTCCGCCATTAATACTACAATTTTGAACTACTGCTTAGGTCAGTCATTGTCATTTTCAACCTCTTCAATTTATTTTTTCTGCTGGTTACTGATCCAGAGTATTAACAAGCTCCTAACCAAGTTGTTGAAGGTTATATATTCTGCAGTTTTCAGCTGAATTTCCCAATTAGGGAAATCATTTTTACTACCACAACACGTATGTATTGTTGCATGCCCTAAAATTATAGACTAAATGAGACTAATAATTTTTAAACCATCAAAAGGTTTATACATTAATATTGCCTTGGACTAAGTTCTCAAGTGATAGGATTAAAGGATTTCATCCATTGCCGTCAGCAACACTTTTATGCATCGCTGTCTTTCGGTGGTAGATAATGGTAGAAATGATTATATAATAACAACATTGTTACGTTTCACTGATGATTTGAACTTTATCTGTAACATTGGATGTATAATCTAGCCTCATCATTTCCTAACTTGCAGCATTAAGTTTTTATAATTACTCGATAAATAAAAAGTACTTCTTTGTAGCTTGCAGTGCAATTTTTTGTTTGTAAAATAACGCTTGTATATGAACAGCAAGGTTAAATCTAAACCAATATTTGACAAACTTCTCCAAGTGCTGGAATCCTTTTCCACACATATATATATATATATATTCTGTCATTATATTATAGAATTATTACACACGGCACATCATGAAAATGTATAGATCATGCAAGAATGATACTTACTTCTGTCAGTTTAATTCTATGTAAACAATCTATTCACTATTGCTGGTTCTGTTCCGTGGAACCATTCGAAACCCTTAGAGGAATCCTAGCGTTCCACGGAACGGGACACATATGAGAGATCCGCAGATCCATAATCCGGTACTATAATCACCAGACTGTGCTCGGTACAAAACTTAAGCATATTTATATTTATTACATAATTTTGAAATTATTAAATAAACAAATTTGCGAACAAAATATGATATAAGTTAGGCACTGTTGTCATACACAGCTTGTCACGTAAATGAAATGATAATGTAATTTTTTTTTCAAAAAGAATATTTTGGTTTCAAATCAGTTCCTTCAATAAAGAAGAATAGTAGATACCCCCCCCCCTCCTTCAGACACGCTGCCAGAGAGTGTTACACGTTTGTCGACCTCAGGCAACATGGGGGAAGGCAATGATGTCACTCTAGAGTATGCATTGTTAGGCTGCCATGACAGGCGGACATGACATTGGAACTTTAGAGACCTAACGATAACGTCATATTTTCACGAAGTGGAACCAGAGGGCACTGGCACCATGCAATGATCTCACCAGAGAGGGTGTGTTGCTAGGCTGACATGACAACAAAATGTCAGAGACATTACCTAATAGCTCCACGAAATGGAACCAAAGTGAGTGTTGCTAAGCCACCATGACATGCGGACATGACATCAGAGGTAATGACATCCACATAGTGTATGAACGTGTCTCAACATGGCTAGATTTAATACAATGGTGGCTTAGCAACATTCACTCTGGCTCCACTTCATGGAACTATTACGTAATTGTCTCTAACGTTCCGTTGTCATGTCCGATGGGGCCTAGCTACTCACTCTCTCTGGTGAAATCATTGTCTCCCAGCTGTTGCCTGAGGTCAACACACGTATATAACGCCTTCTGGCGGCGCGTCTCAAGTGGCGGTGTAACTACTAAGAATGCTAAAGCTATAGCTGTTTGTAAACATAATAAAATATATTGTTCTACCAGAACCAATCCTACATGTGTTCATAACCTGGCAGATGCTTTTGTTGACTCCCCTTTTTTTATTTGGCTTTGTCCTTATAAACTTTATTACTTTTATCTTTTCGTCTGACCAAAACTCATGTCTTCAATCATATACTTTTATTCAGAGTTGTTTATTTTGTAGCAACGTATTTAGTAGGCCGTGTGTGAGCAGTTGTTGCCTTTATTTAGAATAAAAGCTCTTGAAAGTGTAAATAAATAACTCGCTCATGTGCGTAGCATAAGCTCTCACAATACTATACATATAGCCTTTGTGTGAGTTTTACTTAGTTTGTCTGACTAAATGACGAACCTGTATGTCCACCCTACATCATCCTTACGTTTTTAAATTTTTTTTGTTACTTGTATGTCTCCCGGTGGGACAGTGGCTAGTATTCGGATTTACAATGCTAATATTACGGTTTCGATTACACTCGGTAGACACAGCAAATAGCTTGATGTGACTTTGCTATAAGAAAACACCCATACATACACACAGTTATTTGTATAATATAACGTCAATATTTGCTTCTTAGCCGTTTAAATTTTAAATAAACAAACACGTTTTTGTTTTTTTAACTTTACAATTGCGGAGATATATAGAGGATGTCATACTTTGGTGTAGTATGTCAAAGATATATAGAGGATGTCATACTTTGGTGTAGTATGTCAAAGATATATAGAAGATGTCATACTTTGGTGTAGTATGTCAAATATATATAGAGGATGTCATACTTTGGTGTAGTATGTCAAAGATATATAGAGGATGTCATACTTTGGTGTAGTATGTCAAAGATATATAGAGGATGTCATTGAAACCAATACCACTAACTTCATGTTAAGAATAACGTGAAACATGTATTTTAACATACTACACCAAAGTATGACATCCTCTATATATCTTTGACATAGTACACCAAAGTATGACATCCTATATATATCTTTGACATAGTACACCAAAGTATGACATCCTCTATATATCTTTGACATAGTACACCAAAGTATGACATCCTCTATATATATTTGACATAGTACACCAAAGTAATAAGTAAAGAATTACTTGTTTGTTTGTTATTAAGCACAAAGCTACACAATTGGCTATCTGTGCTCTGCCCACCACGGGTATCGAAACCCGTTTTCTAGCAGTATAAGTCGGTAGACATACCACTGTGTAAAGAATTACAAACAAAAACATATAAATGAAGGTCTTGGTTTGTTTCGGATATTCGCACAAACCTACTCGCCGTCCTTAACTTTAATTGATAGATTAGAGGGAAGACAAATAGTTAACAACATATAAATGAAGGCCTTGGTTTGTTTCGGATATTCGCACAAACCTACTCGCCGTCCTTAACTTTAATTGTTAGATTAGAGGGAAGACAAATAGTTAACAACACCCATCGCCATTTTTTTGGTTTACGCGATATTTCACCGCCAGTCTTATAACGGCCTCAAAGATGGAGGCATTATTTTTATTGAGGTAACAGAACGCGAACTTAAGATCCACAGCCTGGTATCTACCTTAGCCACATGGCCACACCTAGCCTTATATGTTAAAGCTAACGACACTTTGAAATAAATTAGTAAAGAACGATTAAACGAAAAAGTGTAATGAAATGTTACCCAACTTCTTTAAATGGTTAAATAATTTACTAGATGTCATTGATTACTATAACACAAAAACTTGAGTTGCATTCCTTCATGAACTGTAAATAAATCTGCGCTTATTGTGATCAAGAGGAAAGTGTTTCACTATCTTAACTTTTTACATTTGAAAGTGTAAAAATAAAATAAAATACTTAATTCAATGACAGAAGTTTGCCTGATCTGGATCTGTTTTTTGTGTGTTTTTTTTTAGCCTGCTCCAAAGCCTGAATTCTAAATCTGTCATATATGTCAGAGTTTTTAGGCTCAACTTTCGAATAACGCAATATACTTCGCATATCGAAAACAGTTTGGTATCATTATATTACCCAAATTATTGAGTAAAAAAGTATATTTTGCTCCTAGTCTATGACTAATGGACAATCGTTCATCAAGGGTTACAGATTATTAAAAAAATAATGTATAATGCGTGTCTTTTAAAAAACGATAGACAGAATAAGCTATATGAATAGCTTGTAGATATTCTCTAGTTGGATTTTTTTTACCGTCTATCGAACAGCTAACTAAATCCAAGTACAATCAGTACCATGTTTACCGAATGCTATAGTTTTCCCACTCCAGTTAACTCTAAACATTTAAATCAGTATAGCATATTTCGAATTTATGACCAAGCTCAGTTAACTAAAAATATAACAACAATAATAAAAACAAATCAAGTGCGTGATTTTTAGAATAATATGTTATTGTGAGTTAGGAATACAATTATTTTTTAATGGTAATTTATATACTTTTTTAAATCCTTTGTGTTTCTAAATTATCACGAATTTAATAAATATGTGATGTTTATATGAAATAAAAAATGTTTATTAAAAATCTTTCACTACTGTCTTAGAAGTATCTTGTGAGTGCAGGCTTTAGTATCTTGTTTGTTTGTTTATTTGTAATTAAGCACAGAGCTACACAATGGGCTATCTGTGCTCTGCCCACCATGGGTATCGAAACCCGGTTTCTAGTGTTGTAAGTCCGTAGACATACCGCTGTGCCACTGGGGTGGGGCGCTTTAATAGCATTCACCACAGAAATATTCTTTAGTACAAGAATAAACAATAACGTTAAAAAATTTTAAATGGAATTTTTAGAACAAATAAAGGGCTCACAAAACTAAAATTGTAATAAAACTAGAAGCTTTACATAACCTTTTTATTTATTTTTCAATTTAAAATGATGCTGAAATATTAAAATAGATATAAATCTCACAGCAAAAAAATACAATTGCATACATTTATGGTCACCATCTATCTGAAGAACCTACGTGAAACGTGCTAAACAAGAAGCTGAAAATTAAATATATGAAGTTATCGTTTGATTACTTATGTCAGACTCCAAGATTCTGTAATAAATATAAACTTCCATGTTAGAGTAGACTAAATCTACACTTCCTATTTCCAACCTTCTAAACTCCAACTACTAAGTTCTTTTTTAACGCCACAACTATTTAAATTACAAAGAAAATATATATAAATATTCATATCATAGCAATGACGCTTTAAACATTTTGGTTTTCATAATTTATTGGATATGGAAGTAATCAGACAAAAGATAATATTCCAGTAATAACATTTTATTTCTGGCGATAAATCATTTTTCCACTCCTGGCATTGTTTAGGTTTTTGTATTAGGGAATAGGATCGTAAATTCAATTGGTATGTAGCAATTGTGGCTGTACGCTTCCAGACTTTTAGTTTTAACACTTTATACAGTTTTAGACTTCAGTCCTATCTGAGCCACAGCATCGGGAGTTAAGCCAGTGGCTGTTTAAAGAAGGGGATTGGCAACTAACAGGTACGTTTTCACAAACTGTTAGTCTCACGTCTACATACAGTGATGAGATCCTTAATTGACAGACAAATGCAATGTTGTTTACATAACCCTGACTAAAACAACTTTCTTATACGAATAAGCCAAATATATACACACATATATGTTACTACAAACGAGTAAAATACCGTACTTTTTAGGCATTACTTATTTTGTTACTAACAGGGGTGGTCAATGAACGCATAAGTCTCGAGAATGAGGGGGGGAAAGTCTCAATACTTTGAAATGAAAACGTTTTTATTTCTGTTAAGCGCAAAGCTACACTATGTGATATGCTCACCGCGTGTATTGAAACCCTATTTTTACCATTATAAGCCCTCGGGCTTACCGTTGAACCAGTTGGGCAAGAAAAAAATAATTAACAATGGATAGCTAAACCATAACATAGTATTATTACTAAGTCAGAAAAATAATATCGTGGGATTATTTTTGTTGTTATTAAAGCGTGTAAAAAAATTCACTTTCATGATGAGAAATATTGATGATAACAGGAGTAGAGACTCAATTAAACTTTTAAATATAGATTATACAATATTTTTGTGCGATTATAAATTCACTTCAAATAGATGACCGTTATTTATGTTATTGGCCTAATTATAATTATAAAAATCAGTAACTAAAAAGACCTACTTTTATTTACGAATTTCCATAACTTTCTCTTAATATTTTTATGTACGAAATAATGAAATACATTTTGTGGCTTGTATAAAGAAAAAGTGCAAATTTTATTACAATCTCTTATTGATACTATATCTTAAACAAGGAAAGACAGTTCGTGAGTTTGGCCCTAAATGTATTTTTTAAATTATTCATCATTTGTGTATCTTGTGAAAAGTAGTTTGATACAACTAAATGCAGTTTCCTGCTTCTAAACCTCACTGCTACCTGCTATGCCTAGACAGCAACAGAAAGACCACAGTTATTATACAGATTGTTTGGAACCAACGCACTATCTAGTTACTGAAGCCACTACAAGATCGACGCTAACTACAAATTATCGTGGAGCAGGCAAACAACTATCACAAGCAGCTGACTCCACAGTTTTGGGCACAACCACCAGGAACCACAGTCAGACATAAGACTTTTAATTGTGTACACCCAAAACTTCAGGGAGATTAGAAATAAATTACAAAAAAGACTAATATTGGAATTACTCCTGGTTGGAATAAGTTGGATAACACGAACAAAACCTTGCCCTTAATGGCAGTGCCCGGGGATCACACATACATCACAAAACAACATGCCGGCCTCCTACAGAAGCAGATATTCAGTTCACTATTTACAATATGTACAAGCACTAGGTCGAGATAGACAAATTTAACTCAGGCCATTCACTGAATTCACCTGACTGCAGGCTAACATCAGAATGTCTCTCTTTTCTTTGGGAAACCTCAGTTCCCGCCCCGCCAATCTAGCGGCTTCCAGCTCGCGCTCTGCATTTCCCAATTCTCTGGAGATTATGCCAGACGATTCTTGCTCACGAGCGATCCAATCCAGCGCCATCTGCGAACGCATATCATCATCTAGAGTGCGGTGAGAGTAATGGGCAACAACTTCTTGGCGGGAACACTGTCGTTCACGCATAGCCTTTAAACTTCCATTCCAGTGAAGTAGTTGGAAGACGGTCATAAGTTCCTGGAACTCCAGCATGGTGCGCCCTTTGTTGGTTTCTAGCATAAACTGGAAAGCCTCAATACCGTTGTTGCTACTTTCAGGCCCATCGGGGTTGCCCTGGAAAAGCAAGTACAGATTAAATTTCATCTTACAGGATTGGATACAATTAAGAATGCTCGTAAATCATCATGTAAAAACAACAACGACAACAAAACATAAGCAGTTCATTAGCTGGTTCATCAGGTTACACTTCACAAATTACTGAGCTTTCTTCTAGTCACCCCATCCTGTCAGACCTTTCCGCTAAGAGTACAGAAGAAACCTTAATGCCATCGCAACACAAACAAAGTATTTCAAAATACAAAAAAAATGGTAACAAGTTATAAAGATATTCAAACTTACATGAATGAAACATGTTAACTGTTAACAGTTTGAAAATCAATGATTTGCATTTGAGGTCATTTTACTAATCTGTATCAATCGAACATCGCTTCAGCATTTCCATCATACCTAGTAAAAAACACCCTCGGATGCAATAGTAAGAACGGACTTTGATTCGCCTAAATAGATCCGGTAAGCATTGTAAATACTACACTTTACACTGTTTTCAATAAAATTGTTGTGCTATAATCGTATTTCTCCTACTAAAATATATTTTTTTATGAAAACTGGTTTGTTTGTTTGTTTGAATTTCGCGCAATACTACACGAGGGCTATCTGCTCTAGCCGTCCCTAATTTAGCAGTGTAAGATAAGAGGGAAGGCAGCTAGTCATCACCACCCACCGCAAACTCTTGGGCTACTCTTTTACCAACGAATAGTGGGATTTACCATATCTAACGTAAACGACTCTGTAGCAGTAATACACATGCGCAAGCGAGACAATCGTCCAAATTCTATCCTTGTCATGTCCTTCTCGAAAATAATGCGTGTCAAGCAAGATAATTTAAATAATATTACTTTTCTTTCTCTGTTATTATAACAATTTAGTATTGCTTAGTGAAATTAATCTTGTTTGAGTATTTGTTTCAATTTGAAATACTATTGCTTAAAAATGCTATAACTTTGGTCCTTCTGTTCCAGCTGCCACCCTAGCACTATGTTATTGTGATTCACCTAGTTAGTGTTAGCTTTGAGTTTGACATTTGAGTCACGTGATTGAAAGTATTCCAAACGTGTCTATAGTTACATCCGAGTGTGTTTCTACTAGGTACTACGGAAATGCCAGAGCGATTTTCCAATAGTAATCTTTATATGATAGCCATACACTTCAGAGAAGAAATAAAATTTGTGAACATTGAAGCATATTTTTGTATTTATAAAGAATAAAAAGAGTGGTCCTCGCAATTTAAAGTTAAAAGAAAATTCACAAGCTTATAAACTCACAATGTCAAGAAAAATTTTAATATATTCTTATGACGTTACATAAAAATGAGAAAAAATGTTTCACTGAAAGTTTCCTCACAATATTGTATGTTAGGGTTTAGAACCTAAACACTACCTGACTTAAAGTTTTTAGTCTTGCATGTATAAATGCACACACACTATAGATTCCATTACCAAAGTGTTAAAGTAAGATGTATAAGTTATAATTAAATTTGAAAGAGTTATATATGATGTTGTATGTACTTAAGGACTTTGCTAGCTACTGGAAGGATTCAGGGCTTCAAAACAATTAAAACATAATTGCAATGTACTCTTTATCGTTTAAGTAGAATAATTTTGGGCGCTGTGAAATATATCTAGGACACGGGCCATTTGAGCCGGTGCCCAGCGATGGCCCTGGTCCTTGCTGATGTTGACTGACTGTTATTAAGGTTGTGTACAATTACTGTACTAGAATAAGGAGGGAGACAACAGGAAAGGAAATTATTAAAGTGAGTACCTCCTGGAACTACAGAGAATAAAAAAATTAACTGCTTAAAAAGATGATATACTTTTTTAACTTTGAAAAACTAATATGACGAAACATATTCTTAGCTACAGAAAAAGCTTTATTATCCGGCATCTGCTTGACACGGGCAGTGCCGGATAGGCGAAACTTCCAGTTACGAAAGCGTATTCCTATACGATATTTTACAGGAAAAATTTTGATCCCCTTGTTAATGTTCTAAAGTACAGTATTTCTACATCGTCCATAACAATAACAGTTTTGAAACAAGAATAAATGGTGTAGGCTGAATAAAAACATTTATAAATTTAGTATTTTAAATGTGATTCACAGTGCAGATGGCTAAAAACTGAAGCTTGCCGGCGGGAAAGATTGTAAACAAAGGCGCAGCAAGACATATCCCGATACGGTGATGTCGAATAACAATGTTTTTACTGCATTACTGTCAAAACAATTAAATATTAAACATAATGTATCAATTAGAAAAAAAAATAGAATTCAGAAACACACACACACCAAATTTAGTATACTTTTTTTAGGGCAAAGTCACATTGGGCTATCTGCTGTGTCTACCATGGGGAATCGAACCCCGGATTTTAGCTTTGTCCATAGACTAATTTCTGACTAATTTTAGACAACTAATTTCTGCTAGTATGAACTCAACGACAAGAGCTACAAATTCTGTTAAATAGGAACCTTCCCTATAAGAAACTTTTATTTGGCCTAAGTATTGTACTTACATAAATACCTATTAAAACAGAATTTTCGTGAGTTAAATCACATCGCTTATTCCCTCAGTTTGGGCCACCAAATTAAAATGTCGTAAAAAGGTTATTTTTCATAATTTTTCATTCTATTCTCACATATATTACATATTCAAGCAGATGAAAGGGCTGATAACAACTTTTCCTTGACAGAATTAGAAATATAACAATCGTTTTACTGATACATCTTTAGCAAGGTTAAACCTAATCTACTTTATGCGAATAACACGTCCACAAAAAAATAGATGTGACAATCAGCCAACTTCTACCATGATTAAAATCTAACAGAATATTCCTATGCACTAACTTTTTTAATTAATTAACTTCTAGCTATGTATTTGAAATTCGAAATACTTGAGAAATTGCAAACTTACTTGAAGTTATATGTCCGTGGGATAAAGTTTGGTAGGATAATACAATTCATTTTAGGAGAATTACGTCATACAGGCAGGCGCCTATATGACGTGAGCAGTCTACCTATTTATCTATACTGTACAGCAGTTTGTTTCTATATATTGTTACGCCTCCGGAGGTTCGTTGGTTAATTTTCCGTATAATTTCTTTCTGAAGAAACTTTAGCGATACAAGTCCTTTCTTAAATAAAACTGGT